TTAGAAGTGGCAGATTACCTTCTTCTAAAGAAATATTATTCTTAGTACTTTTTTTGTTCTTAAGTCCTTTTTTCTACTTGATTTGAGCAATATTAGATATTTTTTTTTATTGTTATTATGACAAGGCTTGTTAAGATGAAGAGTACAATGGCACAAATGCAAGAAAAATTAAACAAATTAATGCTTGGAATAAATCAACTCAATTTATTTATACAAGAACCAATAAGATTGATAGGAAGTAAAGATTAAGAAAAGATTTGAGCTGCTTCAATATTTGTACCAAATCATACTACTTCTTCTATGATGGAACATTGTTCAAGTATTAAAGAATCAAAAGTTGCCATGCTAAAGAAGTTTAATGGCATAAGATCCAAGTTTTGAGGATTTATCAATCAAGTATAACTGATGATTGAACTTCAACTCTAAAGCTATTCAATTCTATAATCACAAGTCAGGTTTATTGGAACACTTCTTTTAGGTTGTACATTATTATAGTTTTTATCTTTTTTAGAACAATATGATTCAATTTTGGATAATTTGGAGGCTTTTTTGGCAATTTTTTTAATTTACATATGAAGAATATAAAGCAATTTGTATTGCAATTCACAAGATTCATATTTTGTAAGAAAATAATTGATTCATAATATAATATGTTTCACAATTTCAACAACTTGCGACTGATATCAAATAGGATGATGTTGCACCTATTAGCCAATTTCTTTATGAATTAGAATATAAAATAAAAAATTGATGCTTCACTTAATTGATCTATAAACATTAAGTCAAGTAATTGACTTTGCTATGAAGTAATATAATCAATTATTTGAATTTTCATAAAAGAGTCATACAAATATGCATCAATGTTTTATAATTTAATGGCAATACTAATGTCTTTTTAATACATATATTTGGAAGTAGAATATATATAAATTAATATGATATATTTCAAACCTCTTACTAAGCAAGAAAAGACTTATCATTGACAAGAAGGATTGTGCTTATATTGTGGAGAACCTAAGCTCAATGCTCAACAATATCTAAAAAAATAAATCAACCACAAAATGAGAAATATAGCTATTAAAGAAGATAATATATTAAAAAAAAATCTACCTATAATAGAAATAATACAATTAGAATCTTATATAATACTTAATAGAAGTCTTTTCAAAATACTCTTATTGTTTCATACTAGATATTAGTTTAGGATCTAAATATTACAAAGCCTTTGATTTATTAGATTTTAGAGCCTTAGTTTATTTTTTAGATGAAAAATGTGTTAAAAAATATATTTTATTTTTAATAAAGAAAATTAAATCTGTTCATATAGAAATAAAAGATGATCATTTGTTATCTTCTGGAGATGTTACACATAAAATCTTTCCTATAAAAGTAACAAATAATGGTCATAGTAGCTTTGCAATATTTAAAATAATTAGATATTTATTTAATCTAATTATTTTTAGATTTATCATTACTAAAAACTATAATCTTTGAATAGATTGGATTTTTCATGGTTTTAATTTTTTCTAGAGTATAATTGAGATTTTTGTCAATCAAGTAAAAAGTTAGAAGTCTAATACAATAAAATATATATTTTTAAGTACAAGAACTTTCTTACATACTATAAAAGAAAGATCACCTTATGTTAATTATGCCATACATGTTTCTAAAGTCTTGTTGAGGCCTTGAAATAGTATAGCAGAAAGTCTTCAAATAGTATTCTAAGCCAATACCAAGATTTTCAAGATGTATTTAAGAAGAAGAATGTAGATGCACTTTTAAAACATAGTTTCTATAACTATTCAAGTGATCTTTAAGAGAAAGTTCAACTAACATTTAGACCAACTACCATTTAGACCAATCTATTCCAAATCTCCAATAAAAACTTCAATCTTGTT